TTCCCCAAACGATTGTAACCCTGTATTAGGACCCTTGGAGGTCCAGAATACCCCCATGTCTGTGCATCTCGGGAATTGGTGAAGGTTTTGGATTGAAATCCTTATGCCTTAGGTCAACATGTGAATTATAAGTCTTGGGGTGTAGCATGAGCACCGAAATGAGGACCATATATAATGGATCAGTCTAGGAAGGCCAGACCTATGAATGGTCGGAGCAGTTCCGACCTTAGGGAGCAGTTTGAGCGGCTGCATGGCATGGACTCGCCGAGTCAGATGAGCAGACTCGGCGAGTAGCTTGAAGAATAACTGGGACTCGTCGAGTTGTTCCTCAGACTCGGCGAGTGGAGTCGGGGTGGCCCCGCGATTCTTCCAGGAGTAACTCGTCGGGTCAAGGAGGATACTCGACGAGTAGAAGGGAAACCTTAGAGGATTGGAGGACGACTAGACTCGCCGAGTCGCCAGAGTACTCGCCGAGTCCGGTCGAGTTGACCGTGGACCGTTGACCAGAGTTGACCCATGTGTAATTTCTTAGGGTCAGTTAACGTGGAAGATAAAAGTATTAATAAGAGATATATGATGTTATAGGGAACTTGTAGCTCGGCGGATCAAGTACGAGGGATTTCAGGAGTTGCTAACTTTCAGTATCCGCGAGGTGAGTCTTCTCACTATACTGTACCCGGAAGGGTTTGACTGTGTGACCGGAAGGTCGGGTATGATATGTGTTATAAGTGCTATAAATGGAAAGGTAATTGCTATGCGTGCTATGTATGTTTATATGGGCCGGAAGGCAATATGTTATGTGACCGAAAGGTCGGATATGATGTATGATATATGTGCTATATGTGTTATGATAAATGTATTATGTGCTGTGTATGTTTATGGGCCGGAAGGCAATATGTTATGGGCCGGAAGGCGAATATGTTACGGGCCGGAAGGCGATTATGTTAAGGGCCGGAAGGCGGGTTGTGTTGTGGACCGGAAGGTCAGGGCCTGGAAAGGCGTATATGCGTAAGTTGTATATTAGGGAACTCACTAAGCTTCGTGCTTACAGTGTTTTGTGTGTTT